CGAACATTACACTTAGTCCCAATATATCGAGTCGATAGTTTTCAAATTCAAGCGAACAGTAGTTGCGCGAGGCTTTCCATATTCTGTTTCAGTGTACGAACGTTCCATGTGCCAATGTTAAGTTTGTTTTTGCGGTGAGAGAAGACCGACTTCAGAATCCGGGGCATCCGTCAGCAAGGAGCATGATAGCCCGATCTCTACTCAATTCAGCAATATTCTATGTGTCCCCGCGTTTCTGTACCATGCAAGAATGTTTACAGCGAAGGTTGACTAGCCTCGCGCCAACCCTCCTCTTCTCATCCGGGCTTGGGACCCGCAATGGGGAGTGTACACATCTACAGGGGGGGGGGGCAAAAAAAGAGTCACTTTGAAGCCCATGTGGGCAATATCATCAAACTTCAATCCGCAAAGAATAACATGGACTGTTATAATTGGGAGTTATATAGCGGATTATTCCTTAGGATGACAGCTTGGCGCCACACCCGCCTGCGCGCAGCAAAAACACAGATCTGAGCTGGCGAACTTTTGGATGGTGTGACATTAAAAAGTTTCAATAAATTTGGCTTGATACACTACGAATATCTGGATTCCTCAGCTAATTCTATCCGCTCCATCATCCGACAGCTTTCAACTTTTTTTCTTGGCGTCAACCAGTGAATCCTCTTTTCTCTGGTCTCCGGACGTTCCGGACAATAAATCCTCCGTGGCCAAAACTCCGCCTACTTCGGTCCGCGTGCCCCGCCCACCGATATACATTTGCGCCCCTTTCCCTTTCGCCGACCTCTACCCCTTTTTCATCGGGTCTCCTTGGGACCTTTGGCACCAAATTACGGACAACTTTTGGCCAAACTCCCGCCCCAAATATGTGCCATGCCCCCGTCCTACTACATAGCAGTTGAACCTCTCCTTTCCCTTTGCCGGCCTCTAACTTGTAATCCCTTGTCTCTCCTACCCGCCTCCGACTTGTTGGAGGCAACTTATAGAACATTTTTCGTCGCAGACGTGCCCGCCCACCCTTGGTCAAGCCGCCCCAGCAATGACAGCTGGCCTCTCAACTTCCTCCACTCACGTCCATCCAGGTCCTTTTGCCCGGACTCCGGAACTTCGTTGGAGCCGAGTTTTATAAGTTCGTCGCAAAACTCCGCCCACCTTGGTCAAGGCCACCGCACACCTCGCGTCGGCGGCGCGCGCCGAATGACAGTTAACTCCAACTCCTCTCACCCTCCAGTGTCAATCCACCTTTTTCGACGACTCGCGGACTTGTTGAGCCGAGTTTGTATATTTCCGGTCGCAAACATCCGCCACTCTTGGTCAAGGCCCGCCCTACCGATGACAGCCTGGCCTCACTTCGGCCCCGTACGCATCTATCCTCCTTTTTCTGGCCCTCCGGGGACTTCTGGAGCCGAGTTTGAATTCTCGCCCGGCGAATCCGCCCAACCTTTGATCAAAGCCCCGCCACCGATGACAGCTGGCCGCTCACTCCCCCCATACGCCTCTATCCTCCTTTTTTCGGCTCCTCCGGGATTTTCTGGAGCCGAGTTTATGAAATTTCGGGTCCGCCGAACTCCGCCACCTTTGATCAAGCCCCGCCCACCGATGAAAGTCTGCCTTCCACTCACTCCGCCTCTATCCTCCTTTTCTCCGGCTTAAGCTTCCGTGACCCGAATTATGAGGCATCTGCTTATCAGAAAAATGCGGTACAACTTAAGAGCGGCGCCCCGCCCATTCTGGCGCACCATCCGCCCACAAGCCCTCACATGTATTCCGGAGAACCACCTCCGACATTGCTCTCCCCTTACAGCTAATGTTTTCTGCTCTGTAGGCTTTCTCTCCAAACGAGTTATGAAATTGTTTATAAAGCACTGCTTTTTTGAGAGAGCTCTCCGCCCACCCGGGTGGATTTCCTAAATTCGATTGACTTCCCAATGCAGCACCTTAACCCACTTTTTGCGCGCATTTCGAGGTCGTGTTTTCACTGAATCGAAATCTTGGTCTTCGGTACATTCATCTTCGAACCACGCCACGTCGCTGTGTGGCGGGGCTCCGCTTAGCGACGTGTGGTTTTGTATTACGTGAGACCCTGTCGCACCCATCCCATCACTTGAGCGGCTGTCTACCAGGTGATGCCGAGGAGCTAGGGAATTTGTGACTAGACATAAACAGAAACGACACACGACAGACGAAGCGCTTTATAGTAAGTAGGATGTCCCCCATAGGCAGAATCATGCCTACCTTCGCTGCTTCACCCTCTCCAGAATATGACTTCATCTGTCATCACCGTCGAGCTCAAGGAGGCCTACCGTAATTGCTCCATTCTAAAGCTGCTACATAAAATCTTCACTCGGATGACTGGTGAATGACTTCTTGGGGACACTAGCTTTGAATTCGCAAAATGGCTTTTGATCAGCTTTTCGAAGACGTCGTAATCGTCCATGGTTTCTTGACGACCTCGTTGTGCTCGTACCGCAAACCATGTTTCCGTGGGAAAATCTTCTGATGTCGTCGGTGTAGAAAGCCCTTATGCGATTTTTCTGATAGAATAGAATGTGCTTCTCAAAATGCACTTGAGCTCATTTGGTTCGGTTCCGGCAAAGATTAATTAATTCTGTTTTGAATGTGAGTCAGAGTGACTCTTTTTTTTGGTCCCCCATGTACTTGTGAGGTGAACACCCCCGAGAGGCGTGTATGTACAAAAAGGATGTTTCATATAGGAGGGATCATCACGGCACTTTATCACTTCAAGACTTTTGTCCGAAAATCGTAGACGAATAGCATAACAGAAGAACAAAAGCTCGCCAAGTATAGGCAAATCCTAACACTTACTTTATTATTGTACTTACACTATACGTATATGGTGCATCCACTACCACTCAGATGGCAGATTGTGTCTTCGAGTGGAGTTTGGCCATGAACTGAGGCAATGGCGTGGACATAATCTATTTTGATTTGTCGAAAGCTTTTGATAGAGTAATTCATCACAAGCTCCGCATGAAATTATGCCAGATGGGTGTTAGTGGATCCTTTCTTAGTTGGATTCGCTCTTACTTAAGCGAAAGGTTCATGTGTGTCAAAGTTGGAAATGCTTTCTCGAAGCTGTATCCATGTAAAAGTGGTATCCCGCAAGGTGGGGTGCTATCCCCGCTCTTATTCCTAGCCTATAATTCTGACTTGCCTGCTCGACTTTCAACTCATCCCATGGTCAAAATCCACATGTACGCTGATGACATCAAAATAGACGGCGTTTATTGTGAGGAAAATTATGATGATGTTCGCCACGCCTTATCTCACACAATATGATGGAGTGGGCTGAGGCGTGGGACATACCCGTAAACCTGGCGAAAACATCGGTACTCCACATCGGCAAAGCTAAAAGAATACCATGCATCTATAAAGATGTCACTCTGCAAACTTCAGATGAAATTCGCGATCTTGGGTTTATTATAAATACAGATTTGGACTTCGAACATCACATAACTATGATAGTTCGTAAGGCTTTTAGCGCCCTATTTACTATCTTTAGGAATATTGAGTACAATGACGAGGCGGTTTTTCTGAAGCTATACAAAGCATATGTGATTCCAATACTTGAGTACGGGTCGCAAATTTGGAGTCTGAACACTAGGAAACTGCAGATGAGGATTGAAAAAGTTCAACAAGTTTTTACGAAAATTGTGCTGCACAGATGTGATTCTAGTTCTGCTCACTCAGGCTATATAACTGACTAGAAAGAACGCCTGCAACGGTTCCAACTTATTCTTTACCGAAGTATTTCAATGATCTAATTTTTGGCTTCAAAGTACTCAAAGGCGAATCAAAGTTGAAACCAAGCAGTTACTGGGTGATCAGGCTTTGCCGACGGCGCACTATTTCGATGTCTTTGCAGTGCCCTAAACTGTCGCGAAGACAGATTACAAAAGCTTTTAATTCTTTATTCTCCCGTGTTGCGAGATGGATTCAGGCATTACCATCTGAGATACAAGAGGCACCTAATGTTAGCGTCTTCAGGAGTAGATTGAGGAAAGTCAATTTGTTAGATCTTCTTGGTATTCAAGATCTGTGAGTTTCATAGTGTTTTTGGAATTTTATTGCAGCAGCCGTCCTCCCCACCGTCAAGCTCTCTTACGACACATAGAACAAAACCACGCATTGTTTTTGTCTTTTTTTGGTGTCATTTATTATTTTTTCTTTTTCGTCTACTTTGATAGCGTTTCATGCCTGGTGAATTCAGTTATTTGTCGTGAATCAGTTTCAAGTGCTTGATAAGGAGATCCCCAGATCATAACCTTCCTGAGATACCCAGAATTGACTGGTAGTTCGCCCAAAAAAGCTGTTCTTAGATTGGATTTGATCTGTGGCGGTCAGAGCTGAATTGTTAGGGTAGGGAATACCTTACATCCGAAAACTCAGTTTCTGAATTCCATGCGTAAGCTTCTGTGCCGCTAGGGTGGCGTTCCTAGCCCGCGGTATCCGCCAAACGACATCGAATACTGGCTAACGAATACTGAATACATCTCTATTTTGAGGTACAACTTCAGCTGGGCCTACATTGTCCTTTTAATTGCATTTGCCGAACGGCTTTGATAAATTCGTCCTAAAGAATCTCCTTATTACCTTCAGTGCTGGTTCACTTAGTAGTTAATGTTCTGTGTTCTCTAATTTTCTTGATGCTCGGATGTGAAATAGGATAGCGCACCTAAGCTTGCAATAAATAAATAAATAAATAAATAAGTATATTAAGTATATGGTCGTATCCAGTCCATGCGCAATAATCAGCAACCGATCCCCCGATCACCTTCCGTGGTTGATTTCGAAGTCGACGAAGACTATCATTTGAAGAAAGGCTCAGCTGCATTTGCACCTTGCTGGTGATAATATCTTTCTTCAATCTTGCAAAAAGTTTTTTTTTGGATTTATTGGGCGTGTTCATTGAATCACCTTCTTTTTACCTTCATCACCTCAGTAAGTCATTTAAAACGATAGCGGCATGAAAGTTTTCCCTCATGAAGTGTTACGTTTCAGTGAATAGAAACGAGTGCAAGGCGTGCCGTTTTGCGAAGTGTTTGCGAATGAACATGACAGAAGCAGGTGCTCCATTTATTCCCATGTGGAAGAAATTTGGAAGAATCTGTATGCTTTATATGTAGATGTAGGACGTCTGAAACGAAATTCTGCGACCGCTGTTCCAGAGCAACTTGTTGTTCCGGACATACGCGTCCCGAAGCAACAACTTCAAACGGTAAGTCTGCTATGCTTGAAGCTGCGAAAGACACTAAATGAATGACTTTTTCCCATCGAAAATATATGAGGTACTGATAGAGTGGCGAGCTTCAGCGGTACCTCACCATATTTATGTATATTAGAACTGAGCAGGAGCCCTTTTACAAAAAAGCCTCAATGTGCTGAGTGGTGATCAAAAATCTTCTGTAATGACCGTCGAACATAAGGAAGCCTACGGTAATCACTCTAGCTTGAAGCTGCTAAAAATTTGCTTACTCGACTAACTGGTGGATATCTCACTGGATACGGTAGCTTCGACCATACAAAACCGTTTTGAGCAGCTTTTCAGATAACGTTGTGATGATCTATGATCCAAAGATCTCGTTGACCATGAACCGTGACCATGTTTGGAAAAATCTTCTGACAGAAGGCTATTATAAAGTTCTCTTTGATAAAATAGAATGTGCTCTTTAATTTCCTGGCAGTGACTCCTTTTTAACTCTCTCCCCCTCTCTATAAAGTACATAGAAGTTGTGAGCGTGAATTTGACAGGCATCACCCAGTCAACGGCGAGCAGTAGGTAGGTAGTGACTGTTCCGCCTCTCTCTGTGGCAGTGCACTTGATAGTGGGAATCGAACGACAAGGGGAAAAATCAAGCCCGCACCGGAAAACACCTATCCCACCTGCCCAGTGATGGGCACGTAAGAGTTGTGGCGATGAATAGGGTCAACCGTCCGTTCAAACTGTTCTACCGAAGGGTCGTGCTTGCAGTTTTGAGAGGGGGTGGTGTTTGGGGAGCCTCCTACGACTGTTGGAGACGGGAGAAGTCAAACCAGCACCCCGTGATGAGTGGATGTGGAAATAAAATTTTTGAAAAGTGTGAATACGACGTTTGACCTTGGTGTTGAAGTGCTGACTCTTTACTCCTCAGCACGCCGTTAAAGCGCGCCTTTGTTTTGAAAGCACCACCTGTCGTCCCTCATGGGTAGTTGCTCGAGTGAGTGGGGTTTAGTGCAACAAAACTTGTGAAAAACGACCTAGCGACCGATCAACGTGAACAGTGGCTAACAAGCAAAGCAAAATTTCAGGGCAAGTTGAGTTTACACCGAAGTGGGCGGGTCGAAAAGCTCGTGTTAGCTCGTTTCCCGTTCCTGGAGCATTTTTCAACGCACACGTTTGTGCTCGTAGCCGAAGTCACCACACTCGCGGCGTAATGGACGCTTAATGCTACACTTCTGCAGCTGGGATTCCAGGCTCTCATCACCTGGCATAGTGACTTGGAAAAGAAGAACTCTTGTGTTCCAATGAAATTTTTTTCAGAGGAAAATCGCAGATGGGTTGAGTATCGGGATACATTTCCTACAAAAGCTGGAAAGATCGTCTGGTGCTAAAGATTACGCAAAAACGCTCGTTTCTATGGAAAAGTATGTTAGTTCCTCTTTTCTCTAAAGCGGTCATAGGTTGGGTGGTAATCGTTCTCAAATTGCTTATGTTCAGAATGTGTGAGAATCACGGAGCATCGCGAACGACATTCGACTATTCGCTTGATATAACCTTAGCGGAAGCTCTTGAAAGGCCACACTTATGCTGCCACAGGACACCAGTTGGTTTTTTGATAGAGTTGTTCCAAAGAGTGCCCTCTGGGATGCACCACGGAGTTAAATTTCGGTCACAGTAAAAGAGTTAAAGGTGTCAGAGAAGCTTCTATAGCGAGGTCATTTTGCCTTTCAGGACTTTGAGGGGACGTCCGTGTTTGAAAAAGATTCTTGATTTCTTCAAATATGTTGCATCGTTAAACCAATTGCACAGGATAACGGTACTTATCCAGTACTAGCTCCTGCGCGTCAACACCTGCCCCACTGTGGGCAAATCCTCGTTGGTTGGCTATTAAACGAAGATTGGCATGTGGGGCGAACTCGAGAAAGCTTGTAACGCCGTGCTCATTGGTTTCGTGAGCCATCGTCAGGCAAAAAGTGGGTTCAAAATGGGTCACTGAATTGGAATAAACATAAATGCATGCAGTTCCAGCCACCTAGATCTACTGTTTCGTATCGGTAACCGCAATGGCGAATACCTTTCTAATCTTAATGGGATGTGGAGCCCTCTAGATGCAAACCAGGGCTTACTAAGAAGATACGCTAATGGAATTGTCAGGCACTTATAACCGGCATAACCTGGCTACCCATCCTAACATACAGGGGGTGGGGAGCAAAGAAAAAGGCAATTTGCCTATGTCGCACTTCGGCCCTATTTTCTTCGCAGAGATCGCCGTCGCTGAAGGAAGTTCCTCAGCTTTTTTCCTTTGTTTTTTCTTTTACGTTCCTTAGCTTTGTTCCTAAACATCTCTATAAAACGATCCCTCCTTTACTGACCTCACCCTCTACTGAGTATGACGTCGTCTGTCATCGTCGTCAAGCTCAAGGACGGCTACCGTATGCTTCGGCCTGAAGCTCTTCCATATTTTCGTGAATCAACTCAATGCTCGATAGCTTCTTAGAGCCCATGCAAAGAGCTCCCACATGGCAAGCTCCCTCAAAACTCGCTTTTGCGTAAAGGTCGTTATGGTACACGATCCTCCGAAGATCCCGTTGAGCTCGACCATGTTTCTGGGGCAATTTTTTCTGATGCCGTCCACGGTGATCACTGTGAAGATTTTCTTATAAAATGAAATGTGCTCTTTAATACTAGCTGGAACCATTCGATTTGAGCAGAGCGTAATTAAATCCATTTGAATGTGGAGGCAAGATGTTTTTTATTGGGCCTCCTGCGCCGACATTACTTTTCTCGTTTTCCGAGAGTGCGGTAAGCAACTAGTTAGAAGCTGGTACTGAATGTTAACTTTACAGCATAAAATACACAACGAATACTAAGAATAAATGTACTACTACATGTGAGGCAAGACCTAACATCACAACAAAAGGTCAGTATGAAAGCCTGATAAATTCGAGGAACTCACTGTCACTGCCACTGTTGAATGTGAGCGATATCTTCGAATATAAGTTCACAACAACGATGTCCAGGGTTAACTACAAGGGCCCGAAACTCGGCGATATTGTTGTGCACATGCCGTTGAAATAGGGACTGCAGAGGAAAACTGGTAACCAGATCGTCATGTTGCTATCGATACAGCACCGTACGCCGCGCGATCACGAAGCATAGGCAGGAGCAGGGTCAACCCTACGTTGGTACAAGTACCAACGGGGGGGTTCGTACCTGATTGAGTTTGTAGGAGGGAGGGTCGTACCCACTTTAGTCGCTCGAAATCACGTGTGGGATTGAGGTGAAATCAGAGTGACTATATACCCCTCCCCACTGGGCGGCAGTTTTGGAGGAAAAAGTGGGTGGGGTTTTGATGGAAGATGGAGATGGTGGAGGTGTGGAAAAGGGGGTCGTATTAAATCCACGTTGGGGGAAGGGGTCGTAAAATTTTTCGAAAAGTAACAACGATAGGACAGACCCTGGGCAGGAGTCATGACGGTAGCCATCATGCGAGCACCGGCTCTCACAGGACTCCCTCGGAGCTATCACCGCGTTCGCGATGTATGACGATGCAATTGAGTGGTGCTGATGACATCATATCAAATTAAGAAGTGCAAGAGGAGTAATGAAACTAACAGCAAATGTAGTATAAATATCATCTGCACTTTTAACAGACGGCTTTATGTAGATGTAAGTGAATTAATGACGCCCAAAAGGGCCCATTACGTAGTGTCACGGATGTTTTTTACTTACATATGTGCTGATTAACAATTACAGACCTCCGCCTTGGTTAGCAATGATAGAGGTATTCATTGTAGATTGGATGGAACCAGGAAGAATTTGCAGAAGCGGATAATCTACTGGATATGTTGAAGCAAATATATTGTCGCACAGTCACGCTTTTCGCCGACTTTGCAAACGGATTTCCTGAACTAGCAGAGTTACATGGAAAAGATCGAGTCTGTAGTTACTATATTCACATAACTGTTCTTGGCTTGGTATGTCGTGCCATCTAATTTCATCTTCAGCTCAGAGTCTGCAACACGAACTATTGCGGTGTGGTTCTTTTCACCTTGGTCTACAACAGCTACCTCAGCAACTGCTACGGCATTCTCTTTCCGCACGGCTTCAAATATTCTCTTCGGCTTAAGAAAGGCGACCATGAGTGCGTTTTTTATGCTTGGGAATTGCCCCGGGTAAAAACGATATGGTGTTGCGAAAATTATGGTTTAATATTTTCGTCAGTTAGTTGAGCGCTCTCAGTAGTAAAGAGTTTAACAGAGCAATCATCAAACTCTGCCATTCGTTCAAGCAGAAACTCAATGAAACAGCGAATGCGACGTGTGAAGGTTTTCCGTCTAATTTTCTGATGTACTATAAGAATTTAGCCCTTTCCCACTAGGCTTGAATGACGGGTTGTGGAAAATAGCTACAAGTGATAGGAGATGACCGAAACTTCTATATCCCTGGACCTAGGATTCGCAAAAGGGAATCTCCCTTTACTAGAGAACAGCTCTTAGGCTGGTGTCAGAGTCCGCGACCTTTCATCGATTCGCGGGAATCGCGAAAATCGCAAGCGCCTCTGAACATTCGAAACCTTAAATATGAAATGAGTAGAATCATGAACAGTCGTCATTCAACCATCACTACCAAGAAGAAATGGCGAGGGGACTGGAGAACGCCTAGCAGTCGATCTAGGCACATGTGATTTTTGTGACCCGTCGCGCTCACACGAAAAAATATTCTAAGGTTGGTGTCGTCGCGCGAAAGGTTTGATTAGAACGAGTAATTTTTGAGCGAACGAGGTAGTGCCGAAAGGATTGATTCCAAACTGGAAGTTCTTTTGAATCCACTGTTCTAATCAAACCTTTTGGCACTACCTCGTTCGCTCAAATTGAAACCATATTCATTTCGTACAATTTAAAAATAATGAGGGCTCCGAAAATGAGCTCTTTAAATTCCCTATCCACTGATCTCCTGCGGAATGCAATCAAATTTGTGAATAATGACGAATGAACGTCATTGACAAGTTTTATGTTTTCACTTTTTGCTTCAAATGCTTGTGTGAAGGAATGAAAAATGCAACCGCTACGATATTTGCTCTAATCCAATATGATTCAGGTTCAACGGATTTATGCAACAACTAGTCGACTATCTCCACTGTCATGTGGTTTCCACGTTTCAAGAGACAAACATCACTGTTGAAGAGTATTCATTTGTGAAATCTCTGATCCTATTTTCTGGAGGTATCTATTTTGAAACACTTATACTGATACTCCTACAGACATTTCTGACCGCCATATAGCTTGTAGTCACAGCAGTTTGGAAATCAGACTAAAAAGTACTGTTGGGAGAGAAAACCAATGTTGCTGTTCTCTGGCTAACGCGCTCTTGTTCGATGTTGTATGAGGCATGCTCGTAAGCCATTTATCTACTTCTGGTATTCATTATTCAGCGCTCTTACATGCTTTTTTGTACTGGCAGGGAGCAAAGTGATAGTGCATGGTATCATACAAAGCACCAAACAGATTGGCAAAGGCCGACGCATGATGGCTGTGGCGTAATGAACGACGGTTGAAGTAGCATGTGATTTGACGAGGAAAACAAGCACTAAAGAATTGACACTTTGGTTGGAGTAGCTCGTTATGTAAGGCTATGTAGAAAACGGCAAACTCTGTTTTCTTGTTTTACTATTGCCACAAAATCATGCTTACTAGCTTGTGCTGGATGCTGGCTCGGTTGATCAATTTGATCAGTTTGTTGAATCTGTTAGGTCGGTCCATAATTTTTGAGAGACTTTATATTTATTGTCGTGAAGACTTTTGAGAGCCACTGAAGATTGGCCACATGTATGATGACGTGGCATGGACCTTCTCGATTCCGATCAGTTTGCCAGTTCATTCGCTAGCTGCCTTGCCGTGGCTGTGATCCCGATTTCTCGGGAAGCTCTCCGAGTTCTAATTTTACATGAGTACCGATTGGAACTGACTGCAAGCGAGGCTACTCGAAAGATAATCCAGACGATGGGCGAGAACAATGTCTTTCTAGCCACTGTTTGTCGTTGGTACAATCGGTTCAAAGACGGCGACGTTTCACTTGAAGATGACCCGCACTCAGGGCGTCCCTTCGCGTTCGATATCGATGCTCTGCGCGAAGCCGTTCAACAGGATCCTAGGCATCTGCCCGGTGTTTGGCAGAGCTGTTCTGCTGCAGCAAGACAACACTGCTAAGACATCTCCATGAACTCGGGAAGACTTGGAAATATGGAACTTGGATTCCACACGAGTTGAGCTCGCAACAGCTGCGCAAGCGTTCCGATATCGCCATGTTCCTTTTGACTTCACATCGGACTTTCGACTGGCTTTCAAACCTAGTGACCGGCGATGGGAAGTGGGTACCGTACAATAACCAATCCAATAGGCGGCAGTGGCTTCGGCCCCAGGCAATCAGGAGCTCCTACCGTCAGAATCAAACCTCATCCAAGAAAGATTCTTTTGTGCTGTTGGTGGAATGCCAGAGGAGTTGTGCACTGGGAGCTACTTCCTGCGAATGCAACAGTCAACGCAGAAGTTTACAGTCACCAACTCGATCGCGTTGTCAACAAGCTTAAAGGAAAACACGACTTCGTTCACTTTCTGCATGACAAATTGACGACCCATATTGCTACTGAAATTCAGGAAAAAATTAAGGAGCTTCGGATGCGACCGTTCTCCCGCACCCACCTTTTATAGTCCTTAATCTCGCCCCAACTGAACGTACCACTTTATTCCGCTCTCTAGCTCACTCCTTGACGAGAAAATCCTACCGCTTACGACACTGATCTCGAATCTGACATACCAATGTATTTCTTCGAGCATACAAACCAGTGGCAGTTCTTAAACGCCAGAGGTATCAGACCTCTACCCACGCGTTGGCGCTATGTTGTTAATCATTGGTGGTCATATTCATGTTGAATAAATATATCACACAATAGGGAAAATCAATAAAATGGGAAAAAAAACAGGTCAAAGTCTGATTTGTCACAATATACACTTGAATAAATATTGGGTTGATCCATAATTCCTGGCCGAATTTTCAGAGTCAATTTTCTTCATGTCAAATTAGTATCATTACGAAATGAGTTAGTATTTTGAAAAACCATCAGTACCTTAAACTGGTATGTTCCAGAAGGTCAAAGGACAGTGGAATAAGTAAGCAGGGATTGAATGGATCAAAAATCAAAGCAGGCGATTATGCTTAACGATTATTTAGAAGGACCTTGCAAGGAGTGCAGTAGGCAAGGCCAGCGCTGTGTTTGCCTCAGTCGCTGCTACTGATCTGGCACTGGGCTATTGGCTTGAAAGCATCGGCAAAGGCGATACAAGCTGCAAAGTTTTACCTCATGCTAAGCCCCCAGTCACTTTCGATGAGAATCCATTGCGCTGTGAATCGGAAGTTCACCCGGACGCTACCACCTGAGATTTGTAGCAGATACCGTGCGAGAGAACCATTCGAAACGTCTCAAAATCTCCTTCCTCCGGATGAACGTCCGACTTTACATTGCGAAGATAACTCGCCATCTTTTGAGGGAAATTGACTGGATCGCGATACCTCATCTTCCTATAGCCCTAACATTACTTCGTCGCACTATCCCCATCTCGATGCCCTGAAGCAGTGCCTTCCAGGGAAAAAGGGGTCACTGAATACAATCACCCAAGAACGTTCTCTCCCTTCATCCCATAGCTCCACTCGTTTTGAGAGGAATGCTTCCATTCGCTGCCTAGCAAATGAATGCATATCAGCGATTGCGACGGTGGTTTTATTGATGATCAGTTATTCTCCAGGAAAAGAAAAAAAACTCAAAGAAATGAAAGTGTCGAAATTCGGCCAGAAATTATGGTTCAGCCCAATATTCTGCTAGTATTGTCTGTGGTTCCCATCAATGCGCTTGCATATAGCTACAGTGCAGAACCGGAATCCATCTTTTGATCAACTCGAACAGTCTGCTAGTTCTGTGTCTATGTAAACAGGCATACAAAAAGGCGCACTCTTTCGTTTATTCTTCCTCTCTCTTCGTTTTCGGTGATGTTCCACTCCGAAAGATCTCGATTTTAATCTTTAGCGTCAGTCTTGTGGGCAGTTTGATCTGGATGTGTGTTCATGGACTGCATGTTGCAGGACATTGAGGTCTGTTGGAAGAGTAGTAATCTCTCTGCCGAAGAAGTGCACGTTAAAGGCAAACGCTAGGAAAACGCATGTAAGAGCGCTGAATAATGAAGGTGGAAGTGCGGAGTGGCCTTGAAGTGGAAATCAAAGCCCAAACCAAAAAAGAACACAAAATCATGTTTCTAGACTTTCTGTAAGGTTAGTGGTGTTCAATGTGTTATCTCATGGATAGCTTCGAGGCCAACTCGATCCTGATCTCCGAACAGATTACTCGTGGTCTGATCCCAAGCGTGCACTTACAAGGGGGTTCTTTCAGGACAAGCCTCGCTTCTTCGAACGGTTTCTTTCATATTGTAGGGACCATTGTAAAGAGCACAGTACCATGTTTGGTTTTCGCATAGCGAATGGCGCTAAATGTCAAGATCAGATGTCATACTCATTGTCAGAACCATGTTGAAGCCAAAAATAGCCGGCAATAAGGCATATGAATGCAAAATTCACTAGCCACGGGGACCAAACCATTAGGACTATTATTCGCTACTTTTTGGTGCTACGAAAACCGTTCAGCGAAAACGAAAGATGGTTTTACAGTCTACACATGCGTCCCCACAATGTGCAAAAACCTTTTTGAAAAAGGCGGCTCGCCTTGAAAGACCCCCCCCCTCCACCCCACCCCCACTGTTAGATTCAGGGTAGGAACATACAGTTGTGCATGGCTACTTATTATGAATACTGTGGAAAGTCTTCTTTATTACGATCAAATAGGAACCACAATGAGGCGATGTTGGAGAAATGACAATATTCATTAAATTGATCGAAAAATTCTTCCAAGTGAGAAACGTAAGGAGTTGCCCGCGCGCGACGTAGTCTGTGCCTTGATTCAGAGATAATTTCGAGTATAATTCGAACTTCATTTCGAGTAAAATTCTCTTGTTTGCAGTGACGGCTCTTACGGACGCAGGTCATGAAATCGTGAGAACAGCTCGAAGAAAATATGCTGCACTCCTATCCGATTACGTGGCCGAAACGCGGCCTGACCTGACACCTTTGCAGCAAATGGAGAGACTGTCAAAGTTGTTGGGCATTATTCCCCACATGATGGTTCGTTTTATTTTGAGCATAGCTTGACCTAGTCTATAGAATCTGCTTGCCATTAAAAAGCTCAATGGACCTTAACCGATTTTCACCAATATGCTTCAGTCCTTCGACCTTTGGTGGTACCAATCGGTACTTTCTGGTAGCACATACAGCAGTGTGTGCAGCAGCAAAGCACTGATCAAGATGTTGAAGTTTTATTGCCGGTTACTATGCAGCGCGTAGTGCCACCATAGCCGTATTGCATACTTATAAAGAAAAAACGAGACCATCTAGCAACGTGTTGCTCTAATCAATTGGACCAGAATGATTTAGTACAACATTGATGCCATGAAATGAGTAAAGGGAATACTACCGTACTCCAAGGGTTTGTGAGCTTACTGCGTACTGGACAAGGGACGTGTGTCACAGCGGTGAAAATCGTGGTTTCCGCGGTGTGTCTTCACTGCACCCGTTTTCGTAGCCTGCCGTAAGACTTTCCGATGTATTAGGTGTTTTAGAAAGTTCTGTCGTGACATTCCACTTTTGGATGCTTTATTTCCCTTGAAATCTAAGAAAGCTGCAATTGATGTTAATGTCATTTTGAAGAACTTTTCCAGCTCTATCCAATGCTCAGCACAACTTTATCCTAAAATATTTCTATAAGCTTTTTCTAAGCTTTGAACTTCAGTATACTCGAGAGTCAAGCTGGCATGACTTTCTTTTCTAGCTTTAAAAGAGCTGAAAGTAGCGCGGATCATATTGCAATATTATCCACGATGCTGGCTTTGTGCCTAGATCTGAAATAAATGTGATCAGAAGCAGTAGTTAAGAAAATTTATTGTAAGGAAGGCGAGAGCTTGTAATATGATAGAGTAGTGTTCGACATCGGTCCGGTGTCTCGATTAGCCAAAAGTTCTGATGAACGCACTTGTGCAGTAGACCATAGAGGACGGTCTGCCAACGTGGGCGTATATGTTTGCACAGCCAGCTATACGGAATAGCTGGAAAGTCTAAAAAATTTTCGGATAGTGGCGTTACGCGACAAATCACCCATTTGAAAGCATCGTCCATCAATTGTCGCTGGTTTATGTGAGTGAAAGCGACTCGTTTCTCTACAGATTGCGACGTACTAATAAAGAGCGGATTCTTCTGCGTATAGTCTACAAAAGTATTTGCGAAATAGATCGACGGGCGAATGAAGCTCTACAACTGCAGAATTTAAACTGTGCTGGAGGAGGTTTGTGCAGCTTTCATGGGCCAGCTGGTGCGCCATGTGCTTCAGTATCAGATGGACTGTTAGCAGTGGAGAATCAATCTTATACTAATTCAAAAATCATCAAAACGTCGGTAAAAACACGGTCCAGCATTCCTCATTATAAAGAACATCACACATCCCTGAAGGTGTCTTGAACGGCACATCGCACGCCCAAGCCTTCACATGTTGTGATCCAGCTGAACATCAAGAGTGGTTCTGTGGACATCTTACTAGTAGATCCCTTGCAATATCTACTTTCTAAACTTCTGAACTTTCTGATCTCGACAGCTTCCTTGAAGAGAAATACATCAAAAATCAACATAATGCTAAAACGACCTTCCCTCAGTTCATCGCCTCCAGAGGTCCAGCATTCCAAATAAACGTACCCTGTTGAACGGTTTCTTATAGAACAAGATTCGCGCTTTCAAATGATTTTTTAATCAACTCGAAAGGTTTAGCCCAAGCCGAGATACGTGCATTTAAAATTAGGGGCTGGAAAACGACAGAACTTTCTGAAACACCTAATATTTACATGTATGAGTTTGTGGAGGATTTGAAGCCTCATTCTTCTAAAGACGTTTCCAGGAAGGGCAACCAAAAAGGCCTGTGTATTTCACGTTTGTGAGCTCATCCGTTTAGGTTTTTGACGAGTAACCTCATTGTTTATTCGCGGAGTTGTTTCTGCCGTAAATTCGGCTGTTCTGTTGATTGGGTGGTGATCACCTTGCTCCCTCTTGTTTACGATGTGGAACACCGAATTTGTTTGTTTCAGCACGCCTCCGAGTTCGACAACGTCTACTGCGCAAGAATGGTTGTGATGAATATGGGAAACCTCTCCGGAACCCTTTCCTATGATCTTCACATTAGGAAATTTTGAAACGGTACCCAAGAGAAGTCTGAAGAATTGTTGGCGAGTACAAAAAACTTGGATTGTTGCGAGGATAGGAGCTGCCTTTTCTTGCTAATATGCAATAATATCTATCTATTGATAAATAATCCATTAAATTTGTCGTTCGTGTTTACCGTACAAGGGTCCATGCTTGGGCCATGGCTACAATGAAGGATGTATGTAGGCATTTTTATAAAAAAGTGGTAAATATTAAAATATCAGCGTTTTAGCAATTCAATAGGGATTGCACTGTTTCCAAAAACTTTCGCGAACTGATGAAATAATAATACAGTATCAACAACACATATTACTGTCTTCATTGATGCCTTATTTTTTCCTAATTCCTGCATCATGAGCGTAATGTCTCAACCAAATGCAGAATTTTGACTGACGATATAAGAAGTCTTTTCCATGGAAATCTTGTGCACGGTACTAACCCAACGTGGTCCTCGGCAGATCTGACCATTACGATGTTATTTGAAACGCTGGTTTCAAGGGGTCGTGTACAGTCAGAGCTATTGTCTCTATGAAAGAATAGGAAAAGATTGTTCATGAACTAACGGATTGAAGTAATCGTGTGGCTGCTTCAGGCTGGAGCGATTACGGTGGACCTTGTTGGGCTGGTCGGTGGTGACAGATGCCATCATTTTCTGGAGACGATGAGGGCAGTGAACAGGGGCTTCCAACTGCGCATGGGGCGCATTAGGAATATTTTATCGAGAGAATTCCGTGGAACACGGCAGCGTAAGCTAGTTAGGGCTTGCTGATACTATGAGTCATGAGCGAAGTGTCGTCTTTTTCTGGCCACGTACCTATACGTACAAGGAAGGAATCAGCCGACTTCAAGTATGTTGCTTTTGTTTATATCGACGTGAATAGTGGAGTTTTTGGACGGAGTTCAAGCGCAATGAGGTGCGGTTTTTGTCTAAATCGCCTTTCGAAGCTCAACAAATTGCGAACAAGAACAAGTTTCAAATAATTTCAAATCAAATCTTGCTGTTTTTTTTTCAACTAAAAGTCAAGCCCACAGTCTTCCATGCTGTTAGTGGATTCACATGAAAGCAGGTGTTTCACACAAGGGTGATGTCAATTTGAAGGTTGAACGCTATCAATAAACAATAACTAACGACCGATTTTCAGTGATAGGTTTCGAGACAAGTTGTGTAGACCTTAAGAAGCAAGAGAATGTCCTATATATGATAGTGATAATTGAAAATGTTTTCACTGTTCTGCTGAGAATCAGTTTTAAACAACATTTGAGTAGCATTATCTATTTTGTCAAATGTTGTGTTGGTTACAGTGAACAAAACGGAAATAAAATCGAAGCTGATACATGCTAAAAAAGTTGAACTTCAAAATTCATTGTTAGTTTCTGCTAAACGGCTCTCGATCTGTGTTCTACGCGCACTGCTGGACAAGGAGATACAGATAAATGCTCTCGTTTGAGGATGTTTTTCCATAAAAAAACCCTTCGACTAGAAAGTGTGCTGTATAGAAATGCGAATCGCATTGAAGTCTGCCTGAAAAAAGCAATGAATCTCTTCTCACATTTTCAAACCATTGTTCTGAAAGGGAACAAATCTGTGGCCGATATATGGCAAAAACGTTGAGCATTATGGAACATTGTCGATGGGAGAGCATGAAATACTTGCTTTTACAGTTCTCTCGTGCTGCAGAGCACAAATTTTTTTCCACCGTGGCCAACTCTGTGAAATCTCGTCTTCTTCGCTTCTAGAAACATTTATGATTTTTACGCGTTCGTCTCCACGTGTTTCTGAGACGGCTTCTTCCTCGCTCTGCACTAGGTGGCATCCGCTTCATGACAACTCGTGGAATTCGTTGCTGTGGCACGCTCAAAATAAGGCCATCCAGTCGAGGTCTACGCTGTGCCACGTTCACTTGTATGCTACTAGAACCACAGCGTCGTAAAACTTCCTCATCAGTGACGTAGTCCGTGGAGCGTGTTTCCATGATCCGAGGTAATAAGCATCTTTCATGGAAGACGTTCAGTTTTTTGACAAAATTAGCACAGCATTTCAATGTTCGCTTGCGTATAGTACAGAAGGAAACAGGATGATTGTCGGGAGTCCCACCGGACACAGACACTGTCCACTTCGCTCCCTGTTGTCTTAGTTGTCTTAAAGAATCCATTCTGCATCGTTTGTAACAATGCACTCCAAAAATGGATCGTTTTGGTTACGCAAAATAGCGAAGAAGAAATTTTAAGGCGTCGATTTTTCTGCTGCTCGCTCCGTAGACCCACTTGTCCAGCCTTTTTTACGATTCCAATTTTCTTCAGATGCTGCGAAACGCTCATTAACAACAGTACTCGCCGTTTAAAATCGAAAATTCACGCGAATTACGCGATTCTTCGGTAATTTCGTAAATTCGTTATAACTCTTTTCAAAATTGAGCTTTCGAGAATCCGGAGATATATTTGAATTCAGCTCGTTGGACACTATGAGAATGATCTTTGATACTTTGGAAAAGCTTCATAAAGTATTGCTCTCTATTTTCTTCGATCAATTTTTGCATGAAATCATCGTCTAAGAGGATTTGTCTCTTACAGCAACTCGGATCTGCTTCATCTTGTGTTCGTCAACATCCCCTTTTTTATAGCACGCATTTTTGAATAGAATTTCAGGCCCAAAGTGATGACGTCAAAGCAACAGTTCAGGGTAGTTTACTTCTATGAGTTGAAACTTGGAGTGCAGCGGAGACAGCTAGGAATCCAAATTAAGTGCGGGACCAAGGAAACGTGAGCTGCTGAACGCTTGGTTTCAGACCTTCGTCTGGAGAATTAACCTGAAAGGAGGGACAGCGGCCCATTCATGATGTGACGAGGCACAATTCAAAAGCCTCACATTGTTAGTAATAGCAAATCCACGAGTACGTGAAATAGCTGCAGGCTAGGAGTAACCTGGACTCGCCGTTTGAAACCCGAAAATTCACGAAATTAACGCGAATCCTCGTTAATTGTCGTGAATTCGTTATAACTCGGTCAAAATTGAGCTTTCGAAATCGGAATATCCTTGAATTCAGCTCGTCGACACAATAAGAATATGCTTCATTACATGGATAACTCCATATACTATTGCGCATGCACGTCGATTTTCAATCTGAAAAAGTAGTTGCTCGCATATGATGTGTATATAATCGCCGCTTACGCGCGTGACCGCTCACAACAAGAAGCCGCCTCAAAAACTTACCCAGAAATGCGCCACGTTTACTCAACTCATCTCACTGACATTGCTGATAATAACATGTAAGTTATTTGCCTAATTCTAGAATCTTCATTTCGTTTCCAAGCGCTTACTGGCTTTTCGTGTTCACCTCTGCTCCACTATCCATCTCTGTATATAAAGTAGTATATTTAGACAGTTCTGCTCAGCAGCTTGTGCGGCCTATAGGTGACAACGAGCGGTTTCTGCTCCTGTGTGGACCCCTCAAACACACCCCTTGTTATGCCCTTGCCCTGCGTGACGATCCCCATTTTAACGAAGGAATATTTGTAGAGAACTGTAAAGAAAGCGAAGAATTTTTCACGTCTAGGCTTATGGTCAATTGTTCTTAGGAATTATGTGAAAACTCGATCGCAAATTGAGCGTTCCTTTCGTGGTGTGGCCCAGAAACGTGCCTCCTCGTCATTCGCTTGTGGAAACGTTTCAGATTTTTGCATTCCAATGAAATACTCGCCAGACCTGAAATGTTGCCCCGTTATGCCTCCCCAGTGAAAAATGCTCATCGAATTGACGATGCATACTGTCCTCTTGTGAATTTTTTGATTCACATCCGTTTTCAGCCTTCCCCTATGCGGGATTCGGCACTATACCACGATTAGTGCCCAATAATCTCAAAAGTATCTATTTGTCGTCGAAACATTGCCTATGTGATAATCTCGATTATGCCCTTGATTACGAATAGACATCTGCTATTTTTGATGCTGGTGTCAATTGTCGCCATTGGCGCCGCCGGCGTTTTTCACAATCTAAACCTGTTGGAAACTTCGTCATTTGCGGTTAATTGGGGTCCTGATTACGACAAACGACACGCCGTGTCTGACGGTGGCGCTATTTGCGGCCTTTGGCGCTTAATTGGCGCTACGCTGTTTCCACCAACATTCGGCTGAAAATGTTGTCTAGGGTCATTTGGGTCCTGATCACGAATATAACATGCCACTGACGCCGGCGCCATGGGTTGCACAAACAACACTGTCACGGCCAGACGACTGATTAGGTGCACCTTTCTCAAGCGCGTACTTGTCAGCACCTGTGGGAAAGGCCAGCAATATCGCGTGACTTTCTCCAGACAGGAAGTAGCCATACCGTGGGAACTGTAGAGCAAAGCCAGGAGCATATTCACGTTCACACTGCGAGATGCCCGTAATGCGTGGCAGTAGCAGCAATTCCGACTGTAAATCTCTCCAGCTGTCATCGGCAGATGGTATAGTACAGAGTCGATGTACTACTGTATGATAAGCCAGCAGTAAGAGTTGAAAGTCTTCCTTGGACCATCGTAAGGCGTCCACTTCCTCTCCAATACCTCCATACAGCCACTTTGCGCTGCTTACCTCAACGTCGGCGGTTGTATTCTACGTTAAAACCAGGGTTTCGTCAATTTCCATCTCGTACTGCAAAACGCTTCCGCTACGCGGGTTCTCCTGAATGTGCCCACGATCACTAGCTCGCCGAAGAACCGCTCCGAGCTTGAATTGAACTGGTTGGCCGACTTTGACTCGTATTCTGGTCCTTGCACGGCTTGCGCCATTTGTCGCGCAGCCAGAAATAGGGCAGTGCGAACACCGTGGACTAAGGTAAGTCACAGTTCTCAAAAAAGGAATCCTTTCGGGCATGAAGGTAGACCCTGGTCTCTTTCCGACGGTCCAGTGCATCACGCTCGACGATTGCAAATTCAGCCGTTGTGCCGTTCGTCGTTGATCAGGCTCTTGGATCCTTGACATGAATGGGATAGTTTCGCAGACATCAACC